TTGTCATTTACTATAGTTATCTATTTATGTGATCTTATAAGCAGATCTTCTTAAGCTGACGCGAGGTGGGTACAGGTCCTCGTTGTCGTTGTCGTTGTTTTTGATGTTATTGATCGATTGCTGACGTTTCAGCGACTTCACCTTCCTCAGAGCCTGGACGTATTTTATATTAGAATATTTTTTCTATTCGGTGGAAAAGAAAGGTTAATGAAGATCAAACTTTCAAAAAAACGCCATATTGAACGGAAAGGCCGCTCACCGTGATGTTACGTGTGGGACTGGCCCACACGTAGTTCACGTGGGGTCGCGAACAAAACACACCTCGGGGTCAAAGTATCGTTTTGAAATAGGGCGCCAGGTCACGCGTGATAGTGAGGCATTCGTCTTTCCGGTTCATCTTTGGATTTTTGAAATTTATAATTTATTTTATTAATAGATTTAATATATAATTTAATTTATAAATTTCAAAAATCGAAAGATGAACCGGAAAGACGAATGCCTCACTATCACACGTGACCTGGCGCCCTATTTCAAAATGATATTTTGACCACGGGGCGTGTCTTGCTCGCGTGAACTACGTGTGAGCCAGTCCCGCACGTAACATCACGGTGAGTGGCCTTTCTGTTCAATATGGCGTTTTTTGAAACTTTGATCTTCATTAACACTTTAACCTTTCTTTACCATCGAATAATAAAAATATTCTAGCATTAAATACGTCCAGGCTCTGAGGAAGGCGAAGTCGCCGAAACGTCTGCCATCGATCAATAACATCAAGAACAACGACAACGACAACAAAGATCTGTACCAACCTCGCGTCATCTTAAGAAGATCAGTTTATAAGATCATATGAATAAATATATCAGCTATCTATGCCGAGGTTTATAGAAAGTCGGTCTTTCGAGTTACTATAGTTATCGATGCTTGTTGGTTTTGCACTTGTTACTGTGGAGTGCAGATGGTGTCCTAATTGAAAAAAGGTTGCAAATTGACGTTTTTGTTTTTTTTTTTTTGTTTAAGGTCAGAGGTAGCTGTTAATGACATTGAACTGTTATTCTCCTGAACGTTCTTCGTCACCATTCAGTTATGTAGTAAGCAGTATTGCAATATCACTGTTTGGTTTTCAAGATTAACACATGCTAAAAACACAGAGAGAACTCATGTCAAATTGAAAGTTGATTGTTTAAAGTCACGCTGAAAATTAAGAGGCTGTATTTGACAGGCAATTTGCACTTTAGTATTAGTAGTAGCCACCTCTTTATCTAATGCTGCTTGATTTCCTAGTTCTTTTTGTTCGTGTTAAATCTGGGTTGAAAGACTCACAAATTTTTCCACTCTTTTTAAACTTACAGTGCAAATGGGTTTTTTTTTCTTGGTTCTCGCTTATTACCATAAAAGTATAAACAGCAGTGTGCATTTATGGGGAGTAAATATTATTGAAGATCGTTTATCCTTTCAGTTAGGATGCTAGGCTGCGTGTAGCGCAGTGGCCGGAGGTGCCACGCTATACGGGATCGATCTCTAAGCCCGTGGTTCACCAAGCCTTACATCCTTGCGGGGTCAGCAGATTGGTACCAGACTTGTCCAGGAGGATAGCAGCACTGGGGCGATACATCGGTAGGCCAGTGGATTGTTGTGTAGACCAACTATACATTCAATCACTTGTAACGATAGTTGATAAAGTCTCGAATGCATGGCGCGTCTCTTAGGGATTTATCAACTCCGAGAGCTTTATCGTTTTTATCGTTGCTTTGACTGCCGGAACAATCTAGTCATGGATGTCTCAGCACATCCTCCATTTGTTTACATCCTTCGCGATCGTCATATCATGGTTTTGCGCTGCTTCAGCATGGTGACGTCCAAAATTATTGTCCTGTGATTCATAAATAGTTTTCCAGCGACGGATGCGGCTAAGTGAAAAACACGTCCGCTAAACGGCCAGCTAATTGGTCTTCATAGTGAATGCTTGCTATTCGGAGTCCACACTACTGCTGTTCTCGTTCAATTGTTGCCAACATTTGCGATGGTCCAAGCATCGGCTTTTTCAGATCAATTTTTGTGTATTTGTGACATTTCACATTACATCATTGTATTACATCCTTGGGGCGCGTGTAGCGCAGTGACCCTGCAATACACATAGGATCGAACCCAGCGCCGCAGGCTCACCAAGCCCTCCATCTATCCGGGGTCGGCAAATTGGTGCCACACTCAGGAGAGCAGCACCGACTCGGTACATCGGTAGGCCACCGCGAGTCATTGTAAAGGTCAGATATGCATTCAGTCATCCTTAACCGTGCTTAATGAAGTCATGACTCATCTCTCAGGGTTTAATCAACGCCGAGATTTTTATCCTTTATCCTTCTTATATTTGAATCTGTCTTTGTGTGATGCACAGAGTGGTGCTATATCTACTTAGCTTGTGTTTTTATCGACTTAGCACTTCAATGACTAACGGTACTCCCTGAACTCCAATTCACGATTTTTCAATCTTTTTCAGCCAGTTTCTTTGATTACGTCCATTTTATTTCTTATGGCATGTAAATTCGTGGTTAAGGAAAGCGAAGTTTTTATACTGCGCTGAAACTATCTTGTTGCAGCAAAAGTGTTTTTGAACATAGCACTCTGAGAGTGGTTAGTTCTTTATGCGTTCGGGGGTAAAGGCAGTTTACGTATGGCCCCCAACTGTAGCATTTATGTTAGGGAATAAAGGCGTTCCCACTTTTGATTTTTACTCTGAAATAACGTTGATTAGTTAAGAAGATAACCTAGTTGTTTGCGTTTGCTCCCAGCTGGGATCTAAGTTGAGCTAGAATTTCAGTAAATAGCCGTAGAAATGAACTGAGCTAGAGTTGTAGGCGGTCATTAAACAATATTGATTCGTGAAAGTTACACGTAATTGGGTAATTTTTGACGTTATTAACAATTTAACGAGTTAGTTAGACATATGGGTGGACTCACCTAGATTGGATGTCATGTATGGTGCCAATGAATGGTTGATTGATGTAATCATTGTATTCCCAGCTACATAACTGTATAAACGGCCCGTGTATTTTCCTTGATTGGGGGCCGTGTTATTTTAGACTCTGTGGCTTCGATACACCAGTTTTATTTTCCATAATAAAGCATTTAAGGGTAAAAAATATTTATTTCACATAAGTGAAACTTGAGTTGACATGATTTCCATCTCGTGTGTGATTTCTTGTCGTCATGAAGTGTTAGATGACTAGCACTAGCAGTAACTAGTCATTTTGCAGATGTGGATTACTATGCAAATTCCAATAAGGGTCGTTAATAACACGAGTTTCCCAGCCTTCACCACCGTATACTTGTGTAGGTGGCAGGTACGGTAGTAGTGGAGACACGCGCAACGGGAGTAGCATAGGGAGGTCCTTGTTTTTAACTAGAGTGAACAGCTTCGATGAGTAAAATTGCTTGATTTTTTGTTACTGTAACTATGTTGGCTGGAGTGAATTTTGTAGTTTTCGTAACGTGGAGCCGATATCATAGTGCATTAGAAAATGAAGAATATCTCCTTTTTAACTGTTTAGTTCTCTGGGAAACATTCAGATCGAATTTTAAATAGTGCAATTAGATTTCCAAATATCTGATTTGTTTTGCTGTGTCAAGGCAAGAAATGTAAAATTTTCACAATGGAAGGTTGCTGATAGGATGGAAGTTGGATAGGTGAGATGGAGCGAACAGTTAGGAAGGAGGGAGTGAAATAAAGCGCAGCCAGAACAGTTGCCGGTTTTTATTAATGGATACACGGGAACGCTTCCCGTCGGATAGAGTAGTTATTCGTTTGGCAATCGATTTGTAGTTATTGTAATTGTTGTATAATTTCCGATCTTCGCTCTCGTCGTCTATTCCATTATTGTAATAGTTCATCAGAATGGTTCCAAAGTTGATACCTTCTTGTCGCTTTGGCTTGGGCTTATCGCTCATTCTTTTTTTGCCTTAGAATACTTTATATGTGCAGTTTACTATAACATGTTTTCTTTTGTCATTTTTGCGACTTACTTTTCGCATGAAACATGGTTGTGTTGTCGCAGCCGAAAAGTGATAACTATAAGGTCGCTGTAGAGTAGGGATTTCATTGTTATTTAATACATTAGCGATTGCAATACAAGCCAATTCTGAGCCATTTTGAACTCACTGGTTTTTCTTTTTTGACGACAAACCGTTTTTTTTTTGATAAGTAGAGGACCTGTGGGGTGTCTACTTGACAGCATTCTAGAAGAGACTTTCCTTTGTCAGTCGAAGGGTATAAATTGTATGTATGCTACCATTTACTATATGTTACTATTTTGCATCATACAAACGCATTTTTGTCAGGATTTGAAAGTGTGCTACAACCTTTGTGGTCCAATTTCGGTATTCTTTACACTCGTATATTCCATGCAATAGTCATAATTCATCAGAGCGATGATAAGTGAAATAGCAGTCACTTACTTACCAGTCAAATTACCGGTTAGTGAACTTGTCCGAAAAGATTTTTCTTCTGTGTATTTCCGAGTGCAAAATAGAGCTCTCCCTGGCCCGATGCACCCCATAGCATCTGTTTTGGATAGGTTACCTACCGATCACAAAACATATATCGAAAAGCTTCTAAACGCCGAAATAAAGGATGACCCCAGTATAGCTCATGCGAGCCACTGGAGACACCGCATATTATCATTACACACCATCGCAAATGTGTTAATGATTGTGAGGAGACATTTTGAATGTACATTTTGTTTTGTTTTGTTCATTCATCTGTGGGCGTTGTAAGATTGTAAATGGAATTTTGTGTGAGAATGATTCGAAGCTAAATAGATGCTGAAGCAGGAATACATAACCTGTTCTTTCTGCTACTCTTCAGTTTTGTTGATTTTGTTTAGCTACTTGATATTTTAATTGTTAAGTGCAACTAACCATTTCTGATTAGTTGAAATACGAGCACTGAGTATTTATCTTCGTGCAATCAAAGTTTCTGGCTAAATCCTAATGGTATTATAGTTACCATGCCTCACCGTCCAATTGTGCTGTCAGGACCGTCAGGTGGTGGTAAAAGCACCATTCTCGCGCGAGCGATGAAGGACTACCCAAACAAATTTGCGTTCAGCGTTTCACGTAAGTTTTTTTTCCTGTTGTTATATAGAAGATTTGTGCGTGTTTTGAGTCTTCTAGAAGTTTTTGTTATATATTTAGTAGTAGATTACAAGCGTGAGCGAAACTAATCCTAACAGTTCGAAAAGCAAATATTTATCTACTGCAACGATGCTGAGGTTTTTATGCGAAACTCTGGACCGCAATAATCTGCGGTGGAGACCAACTAATTTCGACTAACTACAGCGTCAGCTTACTTGGAAACTTGGATGTCCAGTCCTCACTGGTTATGCGGCCCCCAGCATAGTTTCCATTGTGTGAAGTTTTGCTGGTTTAGCCATTGTGGCTTCCTGAATGTGTTAAAATTCCTTCTCTATCGTGACTATGTGTCTGAGTGTGTAATGAGTATAATCTTCGCAAATTCCCAAACTCTGAATTGTAGATACTACTCGCAAGCCACGTGAAGGTGAGGAGCATGGCGTGCACTATTGGTTCACCGATCACATTGAGTTTGAGCGTATGATTGCTGAAGGCGAATTTCTTGAGCACGCGACATTCGGTGGCAATATCTACGGAACGAGGTATGTCAGCGATATCAGGAAAAGCTTCTACCTTATATACCTTGTGAGTTCAGCGTTATGCAATATTAGGTCGCCACTGCTTCGCAGTATATTAGATCAAGTCAAAAACGGTGTCCATTTTTGAACGGTAACCTTAAAGTGTGGCTTTTCTGTTCAAACAAATTTTCTAAACCAACATAAGATAAATTAAAACCTATATTTTTGTCAGTAGGAGTTTATAGGTTTCCTTCTTTTTGTAGCGTAAAACTGTGAAATTTGAAAAGAGTTGATATTTCAATGTTATTTTCAGCGCTTACTTGATTGTCCAACACTTTATAAGTAGGTAATTCATGTGGTGCATGAAAAAGTGGTAATAGATTGGAGAGACTCAGTGAGTATGACAGGTGTTCTGCGTTTCGTTGCCGAGTTCGTCTAGCTTTTCACCGCTAGTTCATCCATTTTGTTGAGAGACATATGCTGATATTTTCGACGCATTTTATCGGTATCGTGAAAGCTATTCTTTGTTAATGTGATTTCGTTAGGATTCAGAAGTAAGGATTAATGAAACTGCTGATCACCAAAAAGTCACCAGTAGCATTATTTTGAGAGCTTTTAGCAAGTTTATTTAAAAATAAGGACTAACTTGAACGCAACGGTGGTTAGGGTGTGGTGTCGACAGAGGTTAAGTTGATTCTTACTATATGGTGTAGGGAAGTAACGAGGCGAGGAGATGAGTGCTTTAACAACAGTATTTAAGCCAACGAAGTTATGACTATGCTGTTTATTTTGAAACGTACGGTCATTTAACTTCGGTACTATAATAATCAACATTTGTTTATATTCATTACGAAGTGGACGGAGTTCATACGATGAACCGTCAGGGTTTCCCAGTGAGTACAATCAGATATGGTGGAATTGAATGCAATGTGCATACACAGCCGAAACCTAGCCACACGACTTTTTCGGAGAATGTGTACTAGATGAAATATAGAGTTCAAATGGAAAGTGGACGAGATAGCGATTGTTTGAAAAGCTGTACTAAGCTTTTTACATCATATTTACAGTCCATGTGGGACAGAACGATTTTATAATATATGAGAGTAGAACGAAAGCGATATAAAATCAACAAAGGAATTGCAGGGCAGTAAGATTGTGTAGGAAATGTTCTCAGTTGTATAGGAAAAATTCTCGTCAAGTAGTCCATAAAATCGGAAAATCTAAGCATCTGTGGTCAGATGGTCTTCGTCAACTGCTAACGCCCGCTATGCATTTTTATCTTTTATTCCTTTTAGTTCTTTAGTTTCCTCGGCTTTAACTTCCCTTTGCCATGGTTAATGAGATTTCAAGTTACTTTTCTTTGAGCCCGCCCGAAAACTTGAGGTTAGAAAAAAGTGCAACTTGAATTCTTTGATTTGAGAGCATCATTTCAACCAGCCTATAATCATTCTAAATGAAATATTGGAAGACTGGTACATGAGAAATCGTTCTGGAAGAAAGAATCTTTAAAGTAGTTCATAGTAGCAATGTAAACAACGGATATTTGTTACCAAATATGTTTGTGCAATTTGTAGAGATAAAGATGGCACTTATTTTCGAGTCGACATAATAATAATAATAATAATAATAATAAAAATACTTACTTGGATAGAACGTCTTTACTAATTGTGCGGGACCCAGCACAACTTCCATTTTTTCGGAGTTTTGCTGGTTTAGCCACTATGGGTTCCTTAAGCCCCAAGCTCAGCATAGCCAAAGTCTGCATCAAGTCGTCACCACCACAGGTTGTCGCCGCCCTTGTGGTTCAGAGGGAGATTTGCCACCATGCGATTTTAATACCAATGCGTTGGTGGGTCGTGGTATTGATTAACTCTTAACTGGGTTTCTTGATGGAAACGCTGCCGTGCTGGGAGGACACGGTGAATGGGAGGAGTAATAATAACAATAATAATTATGGTAGTAACAATAATAATGATGATAATAATAGTAATACTAGTAAGGATGGTAACAGTAATTATGAATAACTTTTTATATACTGGCATGATTTTTCATGTCAAGGTATAATCTAAAATACAATAACCATGGTGCTGAAATATTTGCAAAACATGGACCGAAGGCTAGATCGGACCACTATTGCCTTTTCCGAGCCTCACGTGTATGCAAGGCACCACTGAGGAGCCCGTGCTGTCTTTCTTACAGCTTTTTCTTACTCTAACAGTTCTATCAGCAGTCACTCGTCAACGGAAGTGATCTGGGGAGCACAAATCATCCTAAACTTAACTGGGATTAATGCCGATTTGTGCTCTCCAGATCATTCACGTGTACCGATGATTACTGATAGTACGGTTAGTGTAAAAAACTGGCTGAAAGACAGGCAAACCAAGGGCTTCAGTGGCGCGGTGGGTGCCACGTGAGTTCGCTGGTTCTTGTCTAATCTGGGATCCAGGTTTTGCAAATATCTCAGCATCGTAGTAGTAACAATGTTTCGATATCTAAGGATTTTTTGTGGTGTAGGACTATGTATGTTGCCAAAAGACTGAAGGTACTGTTCTGGTTATTCGTGACGGTAGATTCAGTGTAGTTTTCCATGATTAGATTACTGGCACCCATCTTGATGTTTTACGTAAGATGTACAACCTAGTAAATTCTTGGTGATTTGACTTGGGCGGACATGAGTAACGTTTCCATTCGAACCTAAACACTGTCAGCCTCTTACTATGAGTCCTTCTCTTACTATTGCACATCGCAATGCAACACTCGAATTACACTAAGCAATAGTGAGACTGTCAGTTGTTGAATAATATAACAATATGGCTCCAAAAAGGGCTTAGGTGCAATATGTTTGTTAATGCCTATCATTTTCCTTGTGGAAACATCACTTCTGTAGACCTGTAGTTTTTTCAGTAAGAAAGCTGTCGATGATGTGGGACAAACTGGAAAGATTTGCGTGCTTGACATTGAACTACAAGGAGTACGGAATATTAAAAAGACGAATTTGAATGCACGTTATATTCTGATTAGAGCACCTTCCTTAGAAATTTTAGTACGTTTTATTCTATTTATCTTCTTTGTATGGTCTCAGCTGTACTTCGTATCTTCCTAACAGTTAGGAGCTCAACGGTTCTTCTGGATACACCAGTGTCAATCTCATATAATTGTTCGATGTGTTTTATAGTTTGCAAAAACAAAATTTACACAAGGAGGCTAGTCATGGTGCCTCACGAATATTTAGCGGTCCCATTATGATTTTTCCAGGAATCTCGTCTTCGCGCTCGCGGTACGGAAGGAGAAGAGGATATACAAAGGCGACTGAAACACGCTAAAGAAGACCTAGAAACTGGTGAATTTGTGTTCTAGCTTAATTTTTGTTTTTACCGGTTCAAGTGGGACTTTCGGCAGTAGATGGTTTATTTTTCAGTGGAGAGAGATCCGGAATTATTTGATCATGTCATCATCAATTCTGATTTTGAGCGTGCTTACAAAGAATTTATCGCGGCCATTCAAGAAGATCTCATGTCAGATCCTGAGTAGTTGGAAAAATCAGTTAGTTGTATTGTGTAACTTGAAGAACATCCACTCACTTTAGTTCAGTTATCGAGATGAAGTTCCGAAGACGTTTTTCGTTATTTCTCTTTCCATCAATCCTGAGAACTTTTATAAGCCAGTTTTCATGGTAGTTGTATGTCATTTGGCAGTCTCTATCAAGTCTTACATTCCACTTCTTTACCTTAATTCATCAGTTATCTGAGCTTATTTTTTAAGTCTTAGTGAGATTATTCCTACGTTGCTAATTAGCCACTGCAGTACTGTAATGTTTCTTATTTTTATGCTAATTAATACATCAGTGAGTTACTCTTTACATTTTTATTGAGCTATTGTGACCCCAGACCAAAATTGTGCAATCAAAGTCCAAATGACAAATTTGTGTTGTAGAAGTCTATATAGTTGCGAGTTTAAACCACTTATATCCTTTTTTAGACTAGACGTTAAAGTTCTGTTAAGGCAAAGATCATGCCGTTTTTTACTGATTTCAAGTTTTAATTATATGAATAAATATTAACAGTCTGAATTACGACCGAAGATTCATCCTATGCTGTCACAGGTGTTCAAAGATTCTGCTAAGAAGATTATGTTTCTCAAGAGTTCGTTTAGTACAGAAGTGGTTCATTCTGCTTTTGCTTTCGGAGTAGGTAAGTAGCTACTAAAGTGAGTCGTTAATTCGTCTGGAAACGACAAAGCAGGTGATCCATTTGACGGGGAGGAAGCACTTCATCGATGTTCAGCGATTTGGCTGGATAGTTTTGTACGTAGGGTATGTTTATTTAGCCAATTCTGACCACTGTTAGTGTTGTTTTAGAGGGCAAAAAAGTTGTTGACGCCATCTGTTCTGCGAGGCTAATGAATCCCTACCCGATCAAAACGAGCGCAAAGACAAGACCGTGAATTGTATCCTCCTTGTTGTGCGTGAGCTATTGTTGAGACTGCTTGGACGCTAAGTCGAATTTGAATGTGGAACATAGATATAACCAATGGGTCGTTCGACATCATTCTTTAAGGTTTCCTCATACTGAGAATTGATGTATGGAATCATTCAGGTTGTGATCATTATCGTTCAGTTTAGACCTTGCTAATTTCAGAATGGCGACGAGCTTTTCACGTTTGCCTCCACTGCCTTCGCTCAGAGACTTCATACATATGTATCGTCTACGAGCGAAGAAGATTTTATCTCAAAATTACCTCATGGATATGAATCTTACTAGGAAGGTAGGGCTGATTTTCTTGTAGTTAATGCATCGCTTTTGGATGCAGACTTCCTCCAGGGACGATGCAGCACAGTCTGTAGGATGGGAAAAAATTCGCGAAAGATTTCGAAAATTGCTTGAGATGTGAATGAGGAGATTTCAGCGATTAAGTGTGGAAAAGAAGGCGCGTGTAGCGCAGTAGGCGGAGGCGCCATGCACATAGGATCTATCCCCGCACCCAAGGCTCATCAAGCCTTCCATGCCTCCGGGATCGGCAAATTGGTACCAGACTTGTCTGAGAGGATAGTAGCACTGGCTCGATACATCGGTAGGCCACCGCGGGCCATTATAACAGCCAGATATGCATTCAATCGTCTACATCGATGCTTGATGAAATCGAATGCATGGCGCATCACTCAGGGACTGATCAAAGCCGAGAGCTTTATTTTTATATCCTTTAACTGTAGAGAGTTTTACGACAGTTTCTGTTGACATATTTCTTATCTTGGTGGTAACGTAGTTTTTATTCACACACCTCGCATCTTCGCGTTAACTTTTTTTTTTCAAAATACAACCACAATGGTGTTGAGATATCTGGAAAACTCCGCACGACAGGTATCTGCAGTGGTGAACGAACACGTTATTACCCTTTAAGGACGCTAACGCGTTCAGCACCACACCATGCGGATCCTTCGTTTCGCCTCTCAGCTAGTTCTGTCGATCAGTGCCATTAGCAAACACCTGTCAACGGGATTGAGAGATAGACGAAACAAGGGACCCGCATGGTGCGGTGGTGGACGCGTTATCTCTCGGAAAAGGTAGTAACGAGTTCGTTCCCCAGCGCAGACGTCTGTGGTGCGGAGTTTTGCAAATATCTCAGCACCATTGTGGTTGTATTTCGAATAATACCTTGCCATAAAAAATTGTAGTAGGCAGCGAATAGAAAATTTAATATTGTGTTTTCTTTTCTTGTCGATTTTTTTTTGTGATATCGTGATAATTCCATTCATAGATCGTTCGATATGCCGGAGTGAAACCAACTGATTGGGTCTGTGAAATTGGACCAGGCCCAGGTGGTATAACCCGTGCTATTTTGGAGACGGGTTGTGAACGACTTGATGTGGTAGAGATTGACCACCGTTTCATACCACCATTAGAGGTTTGCATACCATCGAAATACGTTGCTGATTTCAGTTCATTGTCATTACCTTTTTAGCACCTCGCAGAAGCAAGCGAAGGTCGGCTTCATGTTCATTGTGGCGATATTTTGAAGACTAGTATAGGTGATTTATGGAGCGACGGTGGCCATCAGCGGATTTCAGAGTGGTCTGATGAGCCTCCAAACATGAATATCGTTGGTAATCTACCGTTCAATATTGCTTCGCCTTTAATAATCAAGTAAGCTTGTGCATTGCATACATATATGTATGTATATATACGTGCACATATATTATAGTTTGTTTTTCTTTTGGAACTCTTCCTCATGATTGCTCAGGATGCTGAAGGATATATCGTATCGTCAAGATGCATGGCGTTTCGGACGGATACCACTCACGCTGACTTTCCAGATGGAGGTAGCAAAAAGAATCTGCAGTCCGATTGATGACGATGCACGGTCGAGAATATCAATTATGGCTCAGTACCTCACAGAACCAAAAATTTTGTTCAGAATTCCTGGTTAGTTCAAGATTGTTTTTATGATGCACTTCTACTTTGGATATATGACGACTTACTGGTTGATTTTGATTCACTTGTCACATCCTGGAATAATGATTCTAGGAGCATGCTTTGTTCCACAACCAGATATCGACGTGGGCGTTGTGCGATTCATGCCTCGTATACAGCCGTTGATTAGTGCTCCATTTGAGGTATTCAGAACTGGTAATTTTATCACACCTTGGATGAGACCATGTTTAAATTCTATAGCAAGTAACGGTTTGATTAATGATAACAAGTTCGGTTCCATTATTTGCGTCGCTTCTAGAAGTTATAACTTTTATGTGTTATTGAACGGTATTGCGTTGAAAAAATGTACTGTATTTTAGTATTAAATCACATTCAGTGCTTCCCTAGGTTGTGGAGAAGCTCTGCCGGCAAGTTTTTCATTATCGTCAGAAGCATATGATCAAAGGGCTGAAAACTTTGTATCCGAAAGAGGTTAGTTCATAATTTATTCTATAAAACACCTTGTTATACCTGATTTGATATAAATTGTCGACGTAGGTATCTCTCCATAGGAGAGCAGTTTAAGAGTAGGGACTATAGAGAATTTTTCCATCAAATGTGGAATCCTCTATCTACTTAACAAATGTTCACAATAATTATGCGTGCTGAATAAAGGAACTCTTTCCGGTGACAAAACAGGATGTGACCTGGCGGTACTCTAGCTATATCTCATTCTTGCTTAATGGCTTAACCAGTGGAGCCCCAATGGTTTAACCAGAATTGGCTAGGCCATCTTCGCCCTTTCCCTGGTGGCTCCTAATGGCATAGGGACAACATTTAGTCAACTATGGCAAAGGCACAATGTGTGGCTTTATAAAAGAAATGTGATGCTCTACGCACCACTAAAGTGTGTGGTTCCCAAGCAACTCGGGCGCGCCACATAGACGAATAGAAATTTTGTTAGTGCCTGGTTGAAAAACCCGTTGATTACTGGATTGCAAGTATACCGATACTGCAGCAGATGACTGTGTGAATGCAAGCTCCCACGTAATATGTTGAGAGTTTTTGTTCCCAGTCATTGCTAAAATTTGGATTTTCCACCATTCTAAATATAGCCAATAGTAACTGCCACGACCGACTTTCTATTAACCTCGGCATTGATCAAGTGATTTTCTTCGTATTTTTGTTGAGCAAACGCGAGGTGTTATTATTCTTTGTTCACCATTAAGCTGACGTTTCGGCGGATTTCGCCGTCCTCAGAGCTTGGAAAGGTCAAGTTGATAGCAATCTACTCGGCCAGACGCCTCCATAACTAAACAAAGAAACTCTAAACCAAGATTTCAATCACGTTGAACACAGCTTTGCACACTCACCGCTTTCTATGAGGTTTCCACTAAGTATGTCACGTAGAGACCAACCGCACAGAAATTACGTGGAAGTAAAATGTGCCCCTCACATCATAAAAGCAGTTTTATAAACTGCCCTTTATCACGCGTGATAATGAGGCATTCTTCCCTGCGGTTCATTTTCGGATCTCTGGAATTAATCCAGAGTGCCTCGAGAGTTTTTCGCGCCTGTGTTCTTGATTCGCGTACGAGGAACGTGACACACACTTCGAAGTCGTCCCCGTTATGTCTCTGGGTCCTTTGCGTGCCTAGCGGGGTATTTGGTCTGTTTTTGCCGGCTAGGTGTTCTTTCATGCGGACACAGAGGGGTCTACCCGTTTCGCCAATGTATTCGTCACCACACGTCTTACAGGAGATCAGATAAACTATACCCGAGCTCATGCAATCATCGTCTCTACCACTGGGGCAAATTATGCAATTTTGAGTTGCACATAGACGGTCATATAGGCGGTTGCGAACTAGCTGGCGCTTAAGATTACTCGGTGGTATTTCAACTACGCTCACCGAATTCTCTAAGCCCGCCCTTCTCAAGCAGCGTTTTAAAGCTGTACTTATATCATTTGAGATGAAGGGTAGGATAAACGGGACCCTTCTATCGCTAGAGTTGTCGTTTGGAGGCCTACGATTTCCTCTACACCTGTTCTGAGCTACAGTTTCGTGGCCATTAGAAACGGCTATTTGCCGTGCCAAGTTCCGGGACTCCTCTCTCTGCTCTCTTCCCGTGCACACGTTGATTGCTGTTCGAAACATGTTTCTTATAAGCGCCCTTTTCGTGTAAGAGGGGTGAGAGGAGAGGTAATGAACCAAGATGTTTTTACTACTTGGCTTTCGGTACCATTTTGTAATGTAGCCACTTTCTGATAGATGAATTTGTACGTTCAAAAATGGAAGCCATTTTTCTTTCGGCTTTTCTCGGGTGAACTTGATATACTCTGACTGTGCGTTTAACAATTCGAAGCATTTGTCCATTTCCTCTTGTGTTGAGCAAAGGACAAAGCAGTCGTCTACATACCTACAGTAGAGTAGCGGCCCGAGATCAGTCACCGGTGCTTCCACCTTAGACATAAATGCATTGGCAAGGCTTGGAGCCAGTCGTTGTCCCATTGCCAACCCTCTTATTTGAGCGTAGTACTTTCCAGACCTTCTGAAGATTGAGCAGCTCAAGCATTCCTTTAAGAGTGCCATCAGGTGCTCTATCCTGAAGCCATACATGTTTATTTCTCCTTCGTGTTGTGTAAGGAGTTCAAATATGGCTTGCATTGCGGAGTCATTCGACACGTTTGTATAAAGGGCGGTAACGNTGATAGATGAATTTGTACGTTCAAAAATGGAAGCCATTTTTCTTTCGGCTTTTCTCGGGTGAACTTGATATACTCTGACTGTGCGTTTAACAATTCGAAGCATTTGTCCATTTCCTCTTGTGTTGAGCAAAGGACAAAGCAGTCGTCTACATACCTACAGTAGAGTAGCGGCCCGAGATCAGTCACCGGTGCTTCCACCTTAGACATAAATGCATTGGCAAGGCTTGGAGCCAGTCGTTGTCCCATTGCCAACCCTCTTATTTGAGCGTAGTACTTTCCAGACCA